ATGAAATCACGTTGCAGGATTGCATCACCATTCTTGGAATTTTGAACCCCTGAGATCCGACCAACATCGACTCAATGTTGATGAACATTGAATGAAACCCGACTTGCCACATCATCTGCATGGAATAACATCGCATTCCCAGACACCCGTTGTACGGAGACCTTCTTGTGGTAGAAGACATCGAAGTCGACCAAAGAAATGATACAAAGGCTCAATAAAAATTAACCTCCTCTGGTGTACGATCAGACCAAAGGCGTTGGAGGAGTATGCTGCCAAACTGTTCGCAGGTCATTGATTACTAAGTCTCTGCAAACTTCGATTGATTCATTAATTGATTCGTTTTCTACAGCTTATCAACCCTTTGCAGGTTATTTAAAGCCAGAAAATATTTCTTTTTGGAGTGGGAAAATAATAAGTATTTAGTAATTAACTCACAGCTGGTATGTATGTGTCAATCTGTGGTTTATATTTCAAATCTACTGAGCGGACGTTAGTTACAGTTTTGTGGTGGGGAGAGCGCATAATCTGGCGTGATCAGCAGTTTTGAAAAAGAGCAGTTCATTGAAACACTCGGTCACTATGACTTGTGACTTCGTGTTAATATAACCATTGGCGGCTTTCGAAAAGTATTGTTTGCTCTATTTTACTTACAATGCTTCGACCAAGTTGTGGTGTAGTTTTCAGGCGCCTCCCAAGGGTGCCCCAGGTCAATATTATCCTTGCCCGTGACGAGATTCAACTCAAGTCGAATTATATTCAGGGTGAAGATGTTGAGGCTGCTATAACATTCAGTACTCAAAAACAGTTTTCACACAACCGTTTCAGCCACGAAGCTTGTTGCCCGAAGTTATGCACACGTACACATGTATATACACAATCATACGTAGACACATACAAACTGGCATGTGCACAGTCGTACACGCAACTATATCCACGCTCTTGGAATGTCCAAATAGTCGTCATTAAGTGCTATTAATATGTTGATAACTTATTCTAATCGCTTGTGTCGTGGCCAAATGAAGTAGTCATTATTTTTCTTTTATCAAAGGCGGATCTGTATGGGGGCTGCTAATTAAAAAAAGAAAAAAAAAATGTTACGGTGGGAAACGCAGAACGCTGGCTGCCGGCGCATGCTCCGAGGCAACTTTATCAAAATTTAAATCATTACAGCAACAGAGTATTCAGAAATAATGATTTTTATTTTCATTGAAATACCCCCACCTCAGACATCAGTCTCTTTTCTCTCTGGCTCTTTATCGACACATATGTACACACACACACACAGACACACACACACAAATATATATCTAAATAGAGACAGAAAGTGTATGTATGGATATAGAAATCAGCAATAGATGGTAACTGAGTTTCACGTTTTATCGCTAAAAGAGGCGTGAAATTGACAGTCTCAATGCAGTGTCGATTAATATGTCCTCACTGTTTATATTTACCAACATCCCCGATATTGAAAATTCTTACCCCATAAACATACCATATTTTATTAAGAAATACAACGTTTTTACAATAAAATTGGTATAAACCAACCAAATTTGGTAAAATTTTCAGGATGTACTTAGATTTGTATGCTAAATATACCAGGAGAATTTCAGCTTATACTATTATAGTATATGTATTATACTAAATGTATTATACTATTTCTGTTCACGAAAGAAATTTACGATCACTTATTTATATATTAGTATAGTTATTAATATTTCATTTCAAATATTTAAAAGGTGTTCGTGGATCGAAAGAAGGACAGAATCTCAAGAGAAACATATTGTAAATTTATTAAGTGAAGAGAACACAATGTTGGAAATTGTAAAAAGATAAATAGGTTAATGACACTGACTGTTGCTGGGGAGGGCCAACAAAATATCAATTTAATGCCCGATACAGCGAAAATCGAGCAAAAAAGCATGATATAAATACAAATGGTTAGGAAAAAAGGCAGTAGTATCAAAAGAAAAAAATCCTGAATGAAAATACTGCAAAACTAAACCCAATCTATGGCTGTGGTATGCTTCATCTCAGAAAGGATTCTCCATTTAAAACCAAAAAAAAAAAAAAAAAAAAGTGTGGAAAAACTGGTCACAAACGAAGCTACTGCAAATCCAAAAGCAAAAGAAATAAACAAATTAACTTGCTGAAAGTAGTCCTTCCAGCTAAAAAAAAAAAAATGGCATGTTTAGATAATAGAAAATTCGTGACAGTACAAATGAATAACGCTACGGTGAGATTTCAGTTGGATACTGGTAGCGATATTGCAATTATTGATGAACAGACTTGCAGAAGAATCGGTAAGCCTAACTTGAGGAAAACTGATAAAGCTGCAAGAAAAATTTTTCTTGGGAAAATCACGTGTAATATCGCCCTTTGCGGGTAAAACTAAAAAAAAACCCAGATGTTTACGTATTAAAAAATTCCAACTCGAATTTACTAGGCCTCGATTGGCTAGAATTATTTGAATATAGAACTGACTGATTAATTCATTCAGTGGAAAAATTAATTGTTCGCCAGACAAAAAGATTAAAACTAAAGAAATACTGAATAAACTAAAAAAATAAATTCACGACTATTTTCTCAGAGGAGTTGTAAAAATGTACAAAGTCAAAGGCATTTTTTAAATTAAAAGAAAACTAGTGTTTAAACCTAAAAGAAAGAACCCCTTTGCTGCGTTGGAGTCTATTTCTGAACTGGATGGGTTAGAAAATGCCAGAGGTTAATATTAGAAAGAAAAAAAAATAAGATTCGTTTATGTGCAGATTTTTCTACTGGATTGAATGATGCCTCCTACCACATGCATATTCCTGACCAATTCCAGAGGATATACTTGCCAAATTAAATGGTGGTAAATTGTTTTCAAAAATTGAACTGTCTGAGCCATATCTTCAAATTAAAGTGTATGAGGTATGTGTTTCAGTAAATCGACGAAAAATGAAGACCAGTTCCCGCTATAGCAAGTGCCATTAAAGACATTCCTCCCCTTACAAATTTGTTAACCCTGCAATCATTTCTCGGATTAACGAATTATTATATTTATGTGCCAGAGATGTACAAATTGCGAGCACCTCTGAATAATTGACTTAAGAAGGGTACGAAATGAAATTGGTCGGCGGAATATCAAAAAGCTTTTGAAGGAAAAGAGTTATTGCTGACACATTACAACCCGCAGCAACTGATAACAGTAGCGTCGGACGCGAGCGAATACAGCATAGCAGTGGTAATAGGACATACATTTGAAGACGGTGCAATGAAATCAGTCGCTCAAGAAGTTTGACAAATACTGAAAAATGCTACAGTCAAATTGAAAAGGAAGGGCTTGCTATAATTTTTACTGTAAAGAAATTTCACAGGATGATATTAGGAAGAAAATGCGTACTGAAAACTGATCATCGTCCATTATTAAGTTGGTTCTAAGAAAGGGATTCCCACGCATACTACATACGGTCTACAACATTGGACTACGATTTTATTGAATTATGATTTCAAGATGGAATTTCTATCGTCAAAAAATAAAGACACGCAGATGTCTTATCCAGATTGATATCGAAATGTAAAGAAGATTTTGAAGAAATTCTGATTGATCTAAACGGGAAATTAAAAGCTTGGTGTGTAACACTATTAAAGAATTGCCGATCACGATAAACGGTATGAAAACTCATTCTAAAAAGGATGCGTTTATTAAAAAAAATGACGTTAAGTCGGAATGGAATGAAACTAAAATCAAACCTGCTAACAGCAATACAGCATTTTCTATTTGTGATGGAGTACTTTTGTATGCGGAAAGAGTTGTAATTCCGTTATTATGACAAAAAGGATTTTAAAACAATTCCACGTAGGAAATCCGGTAATAGTGAGAATGAAGTCCTTGATGAGAAGTTATGTGTATTGGCCAAAGATTTTCAAAACACAGTGAGAAAAAGTAATAGTTGTATTTCAGCAGTAAGATCACTACCTATAAATTATCAGGTATGGTGGAGCACTGATAAATCGTGGGCAAGACAACATATGAATTTTTCTGGACCACTAAACGGTCCATACTATTTGATTGTGGTCGACAGTTTCACAAAATGATCCGTGATATTGAAGCATCAACGACTGACTACCGTAATCACAATTAAATTCTTGCGAAGTTTTTGCAATGTTTGCAGTACCTGACAGTGTGGTATCCGATAATAATACTTCTAGGGAGTTTAAAAATCCCTGAAAAATCTAAGAGATTGAACAATAGACAACGTTGATTTATCATCCGAGATCGAATGGTCAAGCGGAACGATTTTTGACACCTTTGAAAGAGCATTAAGCAAAATTAATGGCTTGGAAGGTGAAAAAGCAAAAAAAAAAAAAAAAAAACAAACAAACAAAACAAAACAAAAAAAAAACAAACAAAAAACGGCATTACAAGAATTTTTGAGCGTGAATCAAATGACGTCAAATGCAAACGTTAATGCGAAGATGTTACCTTCAGAAACTCCTGTTTGGTAGAAAAGTTAGATGCATTTTTGACAAGTTACTGCCAGGGAATAAGAACAAAGTTTGAAAATTTCAACCTACCAGACCGGCGATAAAGTTTTCTTTAAAAGCTTTAAGGTCGGAAAATAAAATTGGGGAGGAAGGAAAAAATCTGCTCCTTTTTAGTATGATATACATTGTCAAAGATGGACGATTTTGTCATAAGGGATATATTAATCAATTGAGGTCTAGATATGCACAGAATAAGCAACCAGTACAATTTAATTTATCGATGGACATACTTTGCGATATTTTTGAAGTCCCTATTCCTAAAACTGAAATTACAATACAACGCCAGGGTAAGGAAAAAACATAAGCCGACTGGCACGTTGGAAGTAGGACCATGTCAGAAAAAGTATCGACTAAGGAAAGTGCATATCTAAAAGGGGTGGGGTAGATGAATGCACCACCCCAGAAGAGGAATTGGGCTCGTTCAAATACATAAATACGGACGCTGAGAATCGTCAGTAAAAAGTGTACTCAAGTACGGAGGACCGACCCCCCTTCCTCCTCCTCCCCCCTCCTCCTCCTCCTCCTCTCTCCCTCCCTCCCTCCTCCTCCTCCTCCTCTCTCCCTCCCTCCCTCCCTCCCTCTTTCTCTCTCTCTTTCTTTCTCTCCCTCTCTTTCTTTCTTTATTTTTGTTACATCTTTCAGCTTCGGCCAAATTTGTTTTAATTTTTGTTTTTTTTTTTCATTATAATTTGCTTTTATTTTCGTATTCTTGCTTTTTGCGTGTGGCTTGTTTTTTTTTTGTTTTTTTTTTCAGCCTATTTTATCTTTGTATTTTTGTATTTCAGAAGGAATTCAATGGAGGTGAGAAGTTTTCCTCTTCTCGACTATTTTTGTTCTTTAAGCGCCAATTTAGTCAAAATTGGAACGGAAATTCGGCGAAGGTGCTTGAATGTTTTGCGTTTGGTTCGCTTGAGACTGGTTAATTTAGAGTAGCATCTGAAGACGACATCAAAATTAGGATATTGCTCGCCTGATTTAAATATTTGTCATCTCAATTTAGATTCGCATGTCGTTTTTTTTTTTTTATTCATTCCGCTCAATTTAACTCAGCTAAGGTATGGATGACCATCAGGCCCATTTGCTTTTTGCCTTTCCCCCCACTCCATTTTATCTTTGGTTCATTGTTTTTTCCCCTCCCCATTTAGGTGACACGGATTGTAATTCTCTGGTAACTGGTATATTTTCGTTTTCGAGTGAGTTTTCGTAATTGTTATTGCTTTTAACTGTGTGAGTGCTGGTGTTTCCTTGTTTAAGTTGGTGAATACGGCCATAATCTTTGACTTCAGTTCATATTTGGTGTTACAAGGAATTTTGTTGGTCTCTCACTCAGCTGCGTCCCACACATAATAATCAAGGGGATTATATTCTGGAGAGTTGAGTGGCCAAATGTTAGGGGTGATGTGGTCGCAAAAATTGTCTGACAGCCATATCTGGCTTCCCCTGCTTGTGTGCTATGTTGCAAATTCCTATTGCCAGACATAGGGTCCCAGGGCAGCAATACTTCCTCAAGGCACTTGTGGTCCCCTGTGATGAGTCTGAGGCCCTCACCAACAAATTTGGGAGCTCTTTTCTTATCAGAATGACCAAAGTGAGTTTTCCGAGCTACCGTACTTTCGTAATCAGCATTAGACTCATCTATCTCTTTCTAAGTCCTCTGAAATGTTCGTATTGGAGTTTCCGGCGCGAATTCCAAGCAGTACAGAATGTCATTTCAATTTTTTGGTGGAGTAAATTGCGTCATGGTGTTCTTTTTCACACAGACGATGCCCATCTAACCCTATTATACTGTGCAGTCGACAAAATCAAAAACAACGCACCTGAAATTAAAAATATAAAATAGCAACCTCTCTCTCTCTCTCTCTCTCTATATATATATATATATATATATATATATATATATGTGATAAAAATATAGTTTTATGGTATGATATATTTACAGGTAAAAGTGTAAAATATAAAAGTGGACACCGAGGTCAACACTGAGTGGCGACAGACTGTTTCATGCTTTGCCGCTCGCTGTTGACCTCCACCTACATGCATTAAAAAGGAAATCATATTCGGTATATTTTCCCATCCCAAAATTTTGCCATGGCTTGAATGTGAAACGGTTGGTCATAAACTTGTAAATCTTAACCCTGACGGGGCATATTGAGGGCAAGAGAGATAGGGGAAGGCAGTGGGCCACCTACCTGAGGAGTTTGTGTGAATGGATCGTGAAATGTCGGGTGGGTGGGGGCCTTGACAAAGAGAGAAAAAATACAGGGTGGCCCAAAAGCCGGGGCCGTCCTGGGTATGACGATAAACTACATCCGCGTCCTGGGTAAGACAATAAACTACGTCCAACAGCAAGGCCTCTAATCAGGAGGTTTTGAGGAGCGTGGAACCACCTCTTAATTGCTGGTGTTCCCAGGTCCACCCTGACCCAGGGTGGTAGCACCTGTTAGGGTCCCAACTATGGGAAAGTAGTTAACCCAGATCTCATCCTGGGTATGACGATAAACTACATCCGCGTCCTGGGTAAGACGTTAAACTACGTCCAACAGCAAAGCCTCTGATCAGGAGATTTTGAGGAGCGTGGAACCTCCTTTTAATTGCTTGTGTTCCCAGGTCCACCCTGTCCTGGGGTGGTAGCACCTGTTAGGGTCCCAGCTATGGGCAAATAGTTAACATTGAAACTGAGGTAAAAAGCATTATAAAACTGTAAAAATAGGTTTTAATACCAGAAATACTTTGTAAAAAATTATTCCCAGAAATAGATTTTCGAGGAAAAAAAAAAAAACTATTACCAGCAATATATTTTTGGAAAAAAATATTACCAGCAATACGTTTTTGAAAAAACGAAAACAATATTACCATATAATATTATTTTTTTTTTAGAATAATATTGCCAGTTATACATTTTTGAGGGGAAAAAATATTACCAGAAATAGATTTTTGACAAAACAACATATTACCAGGAAAAAAGAACAAGTTGTCGGCATTAAATAACCCATTGAGGTTGATATGCTGTAAAACACAACAAACCAACAAACCAAACCAAAAGTCGGGTTGCAATTGGAAAAAAGCAAGCACTTGTGAAACGGAAACTGGGTGATATTAACGTGATATCATCGACCATAATTAGACAAAACCTTATTAATGTTATATTATCAGATATAGAAGCAAGTAAATTTTGTAAATAAATGTATAAATTAAACAGTTTTTCAATTCTAGTGTGAGTTTTGACCCGTCTCCCTGTATTTAGGTGTTGCGTGAGAAGCCAAATAATTGTAGCAAATAAACGTGAAGATTGGATCCATCATCATCGGCAATCATGAAAGAGCCTCATCAACAGGAAAGCAGTCAAGAACATTATTTAATACACGATGAATTATTGACAACTGTGATTAAGTTAATCATTATTATTTGTTTCGCAGAAGCAAAAGATACACGACTTCGCATTTCACCGGGATCGTTTCTCTTTTAATAATTTCACCTCAAAAAAGGCAATAAAGCCACTCAGACGCAAGGGGGGGTACTGAGTGTGAAAGATATAAGAAAAAGAAAACATTATTAAGGAGAGGGAACAATAAAGAACAAGAATTAAGAATACAGAAGATTGCCATTGCATTTATATTTTTTGAATATCAAAGTTGTCTGGAAAGCAAGGTGGAAGAGAGTTCCACATGCAAGAAGTTAGATAGAAGAAACTATTAGCATAGAACTTACGGTTTCATCTGGCCATTTTATCTGTAAAACCATGAAACCTTACCGCTAGTCTAGTACTGCGCTTAAATTCATTAAGTCTAGGTACAACAGAGGAAAACCCATCAGAACAATTACTATGAAAATATCTATAAAAAAGACACAGGGAAGCTACGTTACTTAAGCCAAGATGACAGGTCAAGACCAGTAACATTGCTGCGACATAAAATATATATGTTGACATGGTAGACGGCTTGCGTATGTCAGTAATCTCAAGACGAAGCCATCAGAAGTTTCAACTCCTGTAGAACCAGAAGATATAAGGTGTGCTCGTTAGCAAGAGTGACACCTCCCTTGTGAGATGTCAAAATCAAGCAATTACAAATAAAAATTAACGGAAGTGTTTTTACCGTTGACAGAAAAATGTGACCCCAGGATCCGTTGATGCATTGGAATAGGAAAAATATACCTTCCAATAGCTCAGCAAAGTATTAAGAAACAAGAGAATTTAATTATAAACAAAGATAAGAGTCCCGATCTGTCACTAAAATCAGTCTTTTTCATAAGGTAGTGAAGGCTGGACAATTTCCTCACAGATAAAGAGGAAACTTGAGACAACGAAGATGTAATTCTACAGGCGGATACTGAGGATACCATTGGCAGAACATGTGAGCAACGAGGAAGTTTTAAGGAAAATTGAAACAAAGAGTTTAGTTGAACTTTCTGGGAGACCTGATGTGGAAAGTAGGCTCGGAAAATTTGACAATCTCAGGACATTAAAGTCAAGAGGGACCAAAAGCTAACTTTGAGTAATCCACCTAACAAGCTTGTAAAAATGTATGTTGGAGGGGTAGTAAGTGGGGAAATACTGCTTAGAGCTACAAAGGATAGGAAGTTGTGGAGACCCATGATAATCTACGTTCTCAAGGGACACGACATAAAAGAAGACTGCTGATTGTTTTAGCTTTCTTCTCAAATGTTACTACCTATTATTATGATTTCCTTCTGTACAGGTTCGTGGGCCTCCTCTTTTACCTTAGACATGACCAGACATAACTCATTTTAAAGTTTCTCTCCAGATAACAGCTTCATCGCATTCCTCTAGTTTTATTTTTTAAATACGGCTAGTCTTGCTTTCGTATTTTCTTACAATGATTACTTTTCAGTGGATTATACGGCACATGTAAAAAATTAACCGTGTCGAGTTAGTGACGATTAATTAGAAGGGAAAACTTTATGATGGCGGTTTGAAAAAACGCAGCGAAAATGGCTGCTTTTGAATAGAATTTAAACGGGGATGCTGAGCAGTTCACATGCTTAACTATTAAATTCTGTAGTGTTAAAAGAATAACAATGTGGAAATGAGGACATCAATGTGTGTGTGTGTGTGTGTATGTGTGTGTGTGATGGCACACGTAATGATGGTGGTGTTAGCGGTGGCAGTGTTGGCCTATGAGTAATGAAGTGCGGAGGCTGTCGGCATGTTCTCTCTTTCAACAGGAGCGGTAATCAATAAGGCAACCAGTCAAACAAAGTAATGATTTTACAAACGAAGTCTTGCGTCTTGTTTCGGCGCCTCGCCTGCCTCTCACTTTCGCTGCCTCTTGATAGGATCGATCGGACAATAGGAGGCGGACTATGGAGGATTCACGTGACACTTGATGGAGTAGGGGTTGTGTAGATGGGATACAGGAGCGGGTGGCTGGGTACTGCTGATTTTGACCGCGATTTACGAGTGAGGTGTTTTGTGTGGTGGAGAAGTGGTTAATGGATTCCTATAAGGAGAAGAGTCAAGTGTCTGACCGCGAACTTGTGTTTTTTTTAAATGATTTCTTTTGATTGATTCCAACATTGTTTTTGATCGTCCTTATCATCGTCAACATCATTAACATAAGCGACTGTTGCGCCACCACCACCACCACCACCACTTCCTTCTCCACCACCACCTCCTTCTCCATCACAACCACCACTACCACCAC